TTTAGAATTATTCTCAAAACTCCTTTAAAAATATGCGTGTAGTTCAGTTTCCCTAGAATATTCCTCATAATTTCCTTGAAATGCATGAAGTTCTCCTCAAAATTCCTCTATAATTATCTTCTATATTTGATTAACTTGAAATTATTTTCAGAATTCCCTTGAAGCTCGCTTCCGAAGTGCTTTGAAATTCCTATTGATTCTTCTCCGGAATTAACATCATTATCAGAAATTTAACTCAGAATTTACGAGAAGTTCAGCCTCGTCCAAATTATTTTGAGATTTTTCCCCAGGAATACATAGGAATCCTGTTCGGAATTTTCTTGGACTCATTTTGTTTTGATTGCCGAGCATTTAATGTATACTTCCAGTTGTACTGTACCTTTGTTTTTTTTTCCTATTCCATTTTGAGAGCACAAGAAGATAGTCCAAAACAACGTCTCGGGTCCAATGAATTGCATGGGTGACCCTATTTCTGCCAATTGATCAGCTTTTTCACTTCCTTCGACTCCACAATGACCAGGAACCCAATATAGGTTAACCGTGTTACGACAGGACAGTTGTTGTGATAGTTTAATACATTCCCACACCACGTTGACGTTTGAGTTTTTTGAATTTCAAGCGTTCTGCGCCGCTTGACTTTCCGAGCAAATGCATGCATATGTTTGCATTTTTATAATTAATTTTTATGCAAATTACTACACATTATAAGATGGCATATATTTCAGCTAGAAATACCGTGGGCCATTTTCCCATCGACACTGAAAAAATTACCCAGGGCTGGTAATTCCAGCACCCACTTTATTATTTTGGTTTGAGCCGTCTGTATAAAAAATAATAATCCAGGACGATTATCCAGTTCACCTGCATCCCAATCAAAGCGAGTTACATCAGGAACTCGAAATTGAAATAATGTCGCTTTAGCATACAATCTTCGTTCATCAATATTAATGGACCTATTTGAAACTCTTTTAGAATACTCAAGTGTCCAGAAAGATCTCCATCGAAGAACTTCATGGATCGTTTGAGCCTCAGAGCTCTTGTTACTGCATCCAATTGAATAAATTGATGTAGAGGAAGGAGATTGAGTAAAGCATCTAAGGCTTTAGGGGGTGTACTACACTTTGCTCCAGTTATGGAAATAGTAGCAAGCCTTTGTAGCTTGTTTAGTTTGACTTTTGCCGTTTGTTGATGTGTTTTCGGCTACCACATAAGTGACGCGTTGGTGATTCTGGGGTTAACGCTAACCGAGTTTATCCAATGTATTCATACTCCATTTTTTCAAATGTTCTTTTACAGATCCGAAAAGCATTTGTTGCTTTTCCAATTTGTTGATCAATGTGTTTATTCCAGCAGAGGGGTCTTCCTCATTGTTCTTCATCAGCAGTTCTTTCGGTCGATGCGTCTTGACTTTGGAAAGCAACCGATTCGTGCTGAGTGATGACCACGTTTTGCGTCCATTGCTGCAATGGAAGCGCTCTGCCCCCCGTTGGCGATACTGCCGTTCAATAAGACAGTTGCAGTTTTAACGACTCCCGCATAGGCATTGGATTGACCTTCTCCAGCTTCCGGTTCTCCTGTTGGGCTTTCCAAGTAGGACAAGATTCGATGCCCCTCCATCTTACACAAAAAGCACTTATTCTTAAATCCACCATAGAACACTTTCCCTATCCGATTTGAGATATCCAAGGTTGATGGAATTTCTTGATCGATATTGTTGTATACACCTCGTGCACCAGTATACATGTGGTCGAGACCCAACTATGCGGGGAATTTTTCGCAGATCATGCAATCCACTGTTCCATATTTACCAAGTGCGAATGACAAATCAGTGCCAGTTACCTATTTCCAGTGGGAGACCAAACTTCCGCACGTAGTGAAGAACCATTGTTCCTCGCGAGCAACATGTTCAATTCGACGGATTTTCCCCTAGAGTAGTGTAACTTCGGGGTATCCGTGTTCGATCGTTGCATCTCTTCCATGTCTACAGATGCTTGAACTTAATAAAGCCACTTTAAATTGTACCCATTCCGAACACATATGAGTCCATTACAAAACTGATGACTGGGGACCGGGTAGGGAAATATTTCAATGCAATTCAAAGTGGACATATTCAAGGATTTTTGAGGAGATATTCATTAAAATTTTCAGAAGATTTCCACGATGGTTCTATCCGATTAAAATTTCAAGGAAATTCTGAGGAGAATGTTACGGTAAAACAAGGGTGTAAATCTGAGCCGTATTTCAGGAAATATTAAAATAATTATGGAGATTAATGTAAGTGATTTTGAAATTTTCAATGTAAAGTGGTCAAATCGCTCATTTGAGGAGAATTTTTCGAAGAAATCCAAGATAGCTCTGAGGAAAATTTTATGGTACACTGAGTTGTATTCCACGAAATATTAAAAATAATCATGGCACTGTAAATTGTAATATGCAAATCACTTTAAAATGTGAGTTTCATATTTCACTTGCGAAGATCATTTGAAGTTACGAAAAGACGGAACATTGGTACTAATGATATAAGACACAAGTAAATACTTCCAGAAATCAGTTTAGATAACATATTGAAAAATGCGTTAATTGTTAGTTAACAAATGTCGCGTTGAAATACTTTAAATTATGGTAACTTTAAATGTTCCCTCAGATCTCATCCGTTGAACTATTTTGAATAACCATCCCGTTGTGGTTATATCACAGGTTCGGTAATAATGAATATATCTATATCTTTTCCTGTACCATGGAGTAAACAAAGTAAAAGTGGAAGAAGAGCTGCAAAATGAAGCACATGCGAAACGACAATAGAGTGATGCTCGTTAGAAAAGTACAAGGATACACTGTCTATTTTCCGTGTTACGATTTTAAACGACGCAACTAGGATCTCTAGATCATCAAACAAAGATAATGGACGTCGAAATGTCGTAGAACACATCAGAAATAACATATGAAACTTTCGGAAGGATAGTAGCGACTAGCAGTGATGCAGAGAAGGACACCGTGTTCACAAATTGGCACGCAAATCGGTCAGAAGGGTGAAAAAACAGTGGAAGTTGGTAAGATCGTTAGATTTTTTTTTATTATTATTATTAGATAAATACAAAACAATGCTGGGATTGGGAGAAACCATCAAGGCACCCGATTGAAGCGATTTGGCCAGGGAGAGTGGAAATGCCACTGGGGCATCTATCTGTTTGGGGGCTCGTACTTTAGACCAATTGTACGATCGTGTTGCTGGAAGGAGATTATTTACTGTCCCGCATCTTGCCTATCGATCCACCCAATCCGTTTTTGGCCCTTCATACAGCGACATGTTGAAGACAATCAGAGGTTATTAAGCTTGGTCAAGACAAACAGAGAAGAGAGTCCACTGCTATCGGACTTAGTTTCCGTGCTACAATGGATGGTAGACCACTATCATGCTGATGGATGCATGTGTTGGAGGCGAACCAGCCCCAGGCTGAAAGCCTCCCTAATAAAGATAAATTAATTAATTAATTGATGGATGCATCAGTTTAAGAAAATATATCTGATCTGATTCCAAAACATCTAGGAATCTTTAAATTCTGTGAAGAGAAGTATCAACACAGAGGAAAAAGACAATAGATTTGGATTTTTTTTCATGAATGCTGATACTTCGTTAATTTGGTTTCAAGTGTCTGAGACTTATAAAAACTTAAAACTTAGATACCATAGGATATTCTTCATGCTTCATGGATAAATAGTGCTATAATATAATTTTTTTTTCGTCATACAGTAGAAGTTTGTTATTTTCAAAATGGAACAATTGAAACCGAATGACAACGTATGAAATTTATAAAATTCCGGTTAAATGATCTATTTAAGTTAATAGCTCAATAATCAATATTTTGCCTCTTCTTGTATTTCGACAGCTGATTTCACCCTTGAATCAACATCTATTTTATTTTTATGAAAATTTCTATCGCCGATTAATGCCACTAATTATAGCGTACAGTAATGATACTTTGAAGTGTAAACTAAAAATGAGCACATAAACCAATCAATTTCAAATAAACATCCAACCTATCCAATTGGACTCTAGCAGCACCAATCGGATTACCAATCAATTCTGGCAAAACTGATTCATTTCACGTACCCCACGGCCACGCATCCCGCCCGATCCTCAAATCCCCTCGGCATGATTAACCCACCATTGCTTTGCCATCGCATTGTTGGGTTCAAGGTGTGCGCGTGTGTGTGTATTTGCGGAATCACACGAACAGCTACTCACTCACTCGCAACAACTAATGCTTCTACGATCACATACGTACAGGGGAATAAAGTACATACATACACACATACACGTACACATGACAAACAGACATAATCTAAATCACATTTTTTACGGTTCTGCTAAAAACATCAACCACCGGTAGTGTTTAGTTTGAATTGTTTTATATAAAGAGCGGGGACATTTGCAATTTTTTGTTTTCACTGAAGTTTTTCACATTATCGTTCCTCCCTTTTCCTACTCTGGACGCACGTTTTTGGAGTTCCAACTGACTCTACTGCTATCGGGAAAATTGGTAAAACATTTTTCCTCGCCTAAATGTATGTACAAATATTTATAGTTATGATTACTGTAATTGCTGCGTAGCGTCCTCCGCGGATCATTGGGTTGTCATATCTGTTATGTTTTGCACGGTATTTTTTTTCCCTCGCCTCCGAATGCATGTGACGGTGTTGCTTGTGCATCGTAAATTTTAATCCTATAATGGGTTTTGACATTTTTTATTCTCTCATTTTTTTGCGATCCCTTTCACTACTGTACTGCTAGTGCTAATATGCATACATGTATTGTTCTGTCTCTAAAAACTACTCACGAGATTTTCAGTTCAGTTATCACTTGTTTTCTATAATATAATTTCTCATCATAGTGTTACCGTTTTATTTTTTTTTTCAGATTTTCATTTTTCTAGTATGCAGAAGGATAGTAGTACAAAAATCCTTACGTTACTCATATACAAAACACGCCCGGCGCCCGTTTCGATGACTTACCTCGCTTCCATTTCCCGTGCCAGAAAACTGCCTCCGGCCACACTATTGCGGTGCGGGTGCGGCCTGTGGAGCAAGACAATCGGCGATTTCCGGACGGAGCGGCGTGTGCGCGTTCTAGCGGATCATCGGTTAAATAATTAATGCGCCGCCAGCCGCCCGGCCAAGGCAGCGATAATTGCGAGTAAATTAATTATGACCGTCGAACCGCCCGCAACCAGCAACCGGATGGCACCGCTGTTGGAGATCGAACTCATCACGAATTCCAGTTCGTCCATCCGCACCTCGTAGTTGCGCGTGTAGAACTGATGGATGTCGCTGATCTGGGCGTGGGAAGAGAGAAAAAACCGGAAATGGTAATCGTTAGAACCAGACAAATCAGCAGGGTGTTGAGTGTGAGTGGGTGGTGAAAGGATTATGTTCGGGTGGTGATCCGATCAGCAACGGGGTGGTTCATTTATTAATTAGCGGCAGTTGTTAACGAGATAAAGAGAGTGGATGCTAAGAGATTTGTTGGGTTGATTACGCTGGAGAAGGTGTTGTAGCGTAAAGTGTGGTGCATAATGGAATGTGGAAAATTGCATAATTCGATTTGTTATTTGTCGGTTAAAGATTTTACTCAACAGTTAGATAACAACACTTCCTCGACTCGTTTTATTGCACACTTCTTGACTCGATATCCCAATAGTCGGAATACTCCATAGCTCAACGAAATTCCTATTGTGATCTATTCATTTTCACTCAAAGAATATTCTGAAATCAATATGTGTAGCTCCTAATTTTCGTTTACGCAATATACATAACTTTTTTTTTCTCTTTGATTTGTTTTCCGTGCTGAGCACCAATGCCCATCAACTCATGAACCGGGGACCAACGGCTTTACTTCCCTTCGAAGGCGTGATCAGAGATGTTATGCCTCAGAACATCCTGGCGCTACTGACTTGGATTGAACCCATCCCTGCTGGGGTATACTTCTCTGAAAACCCAAGACTATTTAAGTGCAAAACTTGGGGTTTTTCAAAGTATATGTGCAAGTAAACCGTGTTAATTTTAAAAGGGGTGGTTCAAAATATTGATTTTGTTCCACCAAGTTCAGTCTATTTCTAATCAGGTTCTGATAATTCTCTCAAATTTTAAATCATTTGGATCCGGACTCATACTGCAATGGCCATTTAAAGTTTATATGATAATTACTATGGTAAAAGTGAACTGTTTGTTCTCAACGTTCTAGCCCTTCACTGTAGTGATATACGGAAAAGATTGCTATCTTCTCTTATGGTAAATTTGATCAGCTACAAGCTTGATCAAGAGAACTTTTTGATAAGGTAACGACCAACCGATCTTCTGGGGTATATTGTGGAACCAAATGTTTATCGTTGAACCAAATCATATACAACAAATCAGCTCAAGTTAACGGAGGACATCCGAGAGTGGTGGGGAGTGGGGATTCCTGTACGAATTATATACTGCATCCATCTGTATAGGAGTACCTGCAGATTTTAACACTCCGGACACGATGTATCTGGAAAAATGTGTAACGGCAAATTGACTGCGTCTAAATCTTTTGAACAGAGACATTACCCAATATTTAACCTTCAAATGCCTTGGAATCTGGTTTGATTCAAAATGCACTTGAGGTACCCAGACTAAGTATTTGAAACAAAAGTGTCAACAAAGGATCAACTTTCTACGATCAATTTCAGGGACATGGTGGGGTGCTCACCGGAAGATCTAATTAAACTGTATTAAACGACTATTCTTTCAGTTCTTGAGTATGGATTTTCAGCAGGAGCTATTGAAAGGAAGCAATAAGCAAGGTTGTTAAATTAAAAATTAAATTAAAATGGAACGCATTCAATATCGTTGTTTACGTACTGCCCTTGGCTGTATGCATTAAACACACCATATGAGCCTAGAGGTTCTAGCGAGAGTAAAACCCTTGCTCTCATTAAGAAAATTGATTAAATGTAGTGTTAGTAAAAACCTTGTGATTGAAAACTTCGAAGAAATGGTTAAATTGATCATCCAGTCTAGATTCGTGCGATCTATCTTAATTATATGTCATCGGATATTAGCCTTCCGTGCTGTAACCCTCCTCGTGCAGTTCCCCCATTGACTATTATCTCTCCATCAAACAGGCTATTCAAGGAGTTTCAGATCAACTTCGACCTATCTCAATTCTCCGTATTTTTGCTGAAAAGTACCAACAAGTCAATTGCAATAGAAGATTTTTCACTGATGGATCACGCATTGATGGATCCACTGGCTTCGGCGTCTTCAATAAATGCTCAACCGCCTTTCGGAAACTTCAGGAACCTTGTTCCGTTTATTTTGCTGAGCTAGCAGCAATCAACTTCGCATTGGGGATGATTTTCGATATGCCCATTAATGGTCTATGGGTCATCTTCTAGGATAGTTTCAGTTCGATTGAGGCTATTCGATCGATGAAACAAGGTAGGCACTCATCTTATTTCCTTTCAAAGGTAAGGGAGCAGATGAGTTTGCGGGTCGAAAGATCATATATGATTACCTTTGTATGGGTCCCCTCACATTGCTCAATCCTAGACAGTGGTTACATTCCATTGCTCCAAATGTTTCTTCGAATGCGTGTTTCAAAGGTATGGATGTAAGTCAGGGCTTCATTCGCGTGATGTCAACACTTAAGTCCAACCACTACTCGCTAGACGCACATCTCTGCAGAATAAACCTCACTAACAGCAATATATGTAGGTGTAGAACCGGTTATGAAGACATCGATTACGCAGTTTGGTATTACCCGGGTAATGACGCCTCCAGAGCACGACTGTTGGATACCCTAGTGTCCCGTGGTAGACAACCCTTCCGTGAAGTAAGAGTTGTATAAGAACCCGTGATATTCCCTACATGCAGGCGATCTATGAATTCCTTTGTTTGTCTGATGTTAGAGTTTGATGTGACCATTTCCTCCTTTCCAAACAATTTCCAACCATTGTGTCCCAGTCTTATTATTCTCCTGTTTCTGTGCTACTTGCCCCTGCCCAGCCAGGATTTGGTCAACCGTAGTATCTGAAACAGGCTTCAGAAACCAGTTTCCCACCTAGCTACTTCCAATCGAAATTGTTACCCATTAACCTCGAGCCCGCCATGAGTAATTGGTACCCAATACTAACCTCGAACTACTGCTGTTTGAAATGTAAATTCAAACATTACTGATTTTTGGCTCCACAAAGTGTTACACACTATTGAGCCTAGTAAATAAACGAACTAGTTAAAAAAAAGTTCAGCAGTTCAGCAATGGATTTTAAATCTTTTGGTACCAAATAATTCTTTATAGCATACTATTTTAAATGGCACCAATATATTTGGAATTCTCCTATAATTGCTGAGCTATTATTTTTCAAACATTGCAAGTTTGCCGTCACACATTGAACCGGAGGCATCGTGTTCGGAGTGTTGAAAGTATTTCGCAAACAAAATATTAAGATGATATTAAAAATTTGGGTTTTGATGCGGTGATTTATGGGGGTTCGAGCTGCAGAATCTGCGCACCCTCCACTCGATGCCACAAATAACCTGTACCCATGCACATTGTTTCTTGAATTTGTGAGAATATTTGAGAAGATTTAATTCTCAGCATTCCCCGAAATATTCACAAAACTACGAATTTTCTAAAATAATCATACAAATTCAATTTTTCTTACAAAATCATCCATCCTATCCATAAAAACAAGAGTTGCCTTGAGGTACGTTCAACCTGTACCCATACAGATTGATAATGTTTGTTTAAAGATATTTAAAAATTCCTTCTCCCATGTTTGTTGGTTATCTTCTTTAATGGGTAAACAGAATGTTTAGCTGGATGTAGGTATTCAAGGGTATTTCGATATACTTTTTTTTAAATCACGTTTTTGGTCATTAAGTAGCGTATAATACACTTAAGTAACATGTTTTTTGGGTCAAATCGGGCTAAAATTTCTCGAGGAATCCAAATCTGAAGTCAGATTTTACGTATAATGTATTTTAAAGAGTTTTATATATAGTATAGAATAATAAATTTTTAGGTACGTTACAAATGAACCTCAGATTCGGAAAGTACGCTATTGGTACACTACATTGAGCCAGTAGTGGCTCTAGCTCCAATATTTGGCCTCAGTGCCAATTTTAGTTAATAATAAGATATCATGGATGATTTGGGCTCTGGCCGACTGAATTTCCAAAGTTTAACATATATTCATGAAGAGTTTTATGAGTGTGTTGATTTATTTCCTTTTAAATCCGTTATAATTGCTTATCTTTTGACAGATACGCGTATTTCGTCTACTACTTGCAGACTTCATCAGTGCCAAATACTCAAAACCACTTGCTTGGCAGCTTGCTCGGGTAGCTATCCCAAAACGCTTGGGAAAATAAAATGGTTAAGAGCTATCTAATGTTACCCGAAAATAATTCATATGTCACGCTAATGAAATTCATATATGTTGTTTATAAGTAGAGTCTTATGAAATTCTTTGGTTTATTTGCCTCAGTGTAGGGCTTTATCCATACAATGTTGCAAGATAATCATGCAATCATAAATGGGGGATGCTTAGATCCTTGAATTGATAATTTGTAAATACTACGGACCTGATCATTTATTATTATTATCATCCTTCCTCTTCATCTTCTTCGCATTTCAAGCTTATTGCTTATCGCATATTAGCTTATTGCGTGCTCTCAACTTAGTGTTCTAGATGCACTTCCACAGTTATTAATTGAGAGCTTACGATGTCTATACAGTTAGTACTTGTTGCATTAGTATAATTATGTGGCAAATACAATCATTCTGTATGCCCAGGGAAGTCGAGAAATTTTCCACCCCGAAAAATGCCTAGACAGGACCAGAATGCCAAATATAATATGGCAGAACAGGAAACCCAAAATGCAAGTACCTACTTTGTGAATTTAAACTCAGTTTTCTCAACAATTGTGCTGCTTCAAAAAATCTAACTAGACGTATGGATTCAGCAAAGCCCATTCAAAAAAATACAAGCCTAATTTTCAAAGATACTCTTGGCTGATCAACTTGGCTGAACAAGAAACCCAAATTTCTATAAAAATGCGTACTCTTGAGGATTCAAACCCAGTTTTCTAAAAAATTGTGCATGCTTCAAAACATGTACCATCACGTATGGATTGAGCAGGGTCCAGTCTAAAAAATCTAAGCCCATTTTTCAAAATACGGAGCCAAAATCCAACTTGGCTGAACAGTTAACCCGAATTTCTATCAAAATACGTATTTTTGTGAATTTAAAGTTGGTTTTCACAAAAATTCTAAAATTAAACCCTGACGTTTAGCGGCGCCGGT